TATCACTTGTTTGCTTAATCTCTCTTTTGCAATTTCACCACATCTATATACTCATGGCATTTCAAAAAGAAAACATGGAAGTTGAAATTATATCCACAAAATTCATAAAACCATCTTCACCAACTCCAAATTTACAAGTTATGTTTCTTTGATCAAATATCTGATGAGACACATATACCTCTTGTTTTTTTTATCCTCCTACCAACAACATTAATTTTTCAGCTCATGAAGAACAACTTGAGCAATCCTTATCTAGGATATCAACCTTTCATTCCTTTGTTGGCCTCAAGATTCATGGAATGTAGATGCATCCAACTTATTCGCCATGCCAGTTGTCATTATCCAAATTACAGAATTCGAGTGTGGTGGCTTGGCTCTATCCATGAGCCACGCGCACATGGAAATGGATGGTTAATTACTCAACTTTTACTGTTATCAACGAATGGTCCAAAGTGTGTAGACTTGAGATTCCTTTAGAGAAGATCGATTTCATGAGCTTTAATTTGGTTGATGTTTTCCCAACGAGAGATTTATCGAAGCTTCTCTTGCCTCGTGTTCCTCTAGAAGATCGTGTGGAGTCTAAATTAGTAGCCTAAAGGCTATACATCAGCGAAGATTCCATTTCAAGGCTAAGAAAAGAAGTTGGTGGAGACTTATGCTTTAAGCCGTCAAGAGTTGAAATGATCATGGCCCTCCTATGGAGGGCTTTAATCCGTGCTTCAGAAAATAAAAGAAGCACGGATATCTAAGGCGTTCTCTAATGAACTGTAACACCCCAGAAAATTTTTGAGCTAAGACTTGAACCGTCCTTCGTTGTGGGTAGGATTTAACCAAGGAATTTAAAATTTCTTAAGTGTTAAATTCACTAGATGTAGCACCTTGAGTTCGAAAAAGAATTAAATTGGAAATAGCAAGATCTAAAATTTTGCAAGTTATGCTTAAGTATGAGTTTTGGGTTGACTTCAAACGACCATAACTCCTAGCTCATGATGAGTTAGGTGTACTACCAGATACCGTAGGAAAGACCTTTGAATTATCTTTCCAACGCCGCCAATTTTGCTCAGTTTCGATATCGTATGAGGGAGATATGTTTATTCGAAGTTGGGCTGTCTAGATAAGGAAAGTCAAAACCGGATTCTAGAGGGGTATTTTGGTCTTTTCCTTACCCAATAAGATTTAATTCGTTTTTAGTAATATTTTAAGGGTCTAATCCTATTAGGTTCAGTTTTATAATCCTAAAAATTAGCCTAGGGTTTTAGTTGAGAGTTCAAGAAGAGAAAAGAAGAAGAAAGAAGAGGAGAAATAAAAGAGAAAGGATTGAAGCGTTCGTCGAAATTCTTAAGAGTTGTTGCGGATTTTCGCCATGGGTTTAATCCCTAAGAGGTATGTAAGCTTCCATAGTGTTGGGTTTGTTCACCCACACGCCAATCATATTATTTTTCAGCGAAATGTCATTCTTGAAGTTGAAAGATTAGAGTTTTATATATTTTTAGCGGCAACTAACACTCTTTGTATATGTCCCTTAAGCCTTTAGCGACATTGGATCTAATGACACTTAACTAATGCCGTTAAAGACTTTAGCACTCTTTATTAATGTGTCTATTTATTCCGCTAAAAAATATTTTTGTTGTAGTGTAACATTTTCAAAGTTTGTCCAAATAAAGTGTTGATTAAATAATCAAGTAAACTTTTTTTTAGTTTTGTATTAGATAAAGCATGATGAAAACATAATTAAATAAATATAAATAATATAGTAATTAATTTCTTTTCTTTCTAGGACTTGTATAACTCTCAGCTATTATAACCTTTGTTACATGACCCTCTGTCCTTCAAATAGTCACTCTGTGGTAATAGGCTACAAATCACATGATGTAAATTGTACTAGACAAGTTCTATGCAACATGCTCAACTTAGAAAACATTGAGGGGAAGTCGATCCCGAATCATCCATGTGATGGACTATCCTCCAAATCAACTGAGTCATCCTGAAGGACCATATAACAAATTAAATTAAGCTTTTACATGACACTATCACATACATTATGTCATTGTGTATTTCTTTTACAGCTAAGTACTGTTGAAACATCATTGTGATTTTTTTCTTTGTTTTCTTGTTATTAAAGCAAGAATTTACATGTGAAATATATTGACCTTGGCTTTTATCAATATATTGTAACACTTTGATCTTGACAAATTGAATATTTATGTTCATCAAAATCTTCAAGTTGTTGTACCATAGAATGAGTAATGGAAAAGTTGTTTTTGGGATAAAATAGAACAAAAGGGACGTGTTTTCTTAGCAACTTGATCAAAGTAAGATAATTTAACTTGAATTTGGCTAGCTCAAGAAGAAACTGTAAACAAAACTTGCATTCTCACTTGTATTTAAGTAGAGAGCGGAGAATCTTAGTTAGCTTAGTTAGTTGAGTATACAAATTTTCACTTTGTTAGTGAGTGATTGATGATACTCCAACCTTGTAATACGCTTTTCCGTTTCTCTTTTTTCGTCACCTACCCTTATTTGTCAAATTTGGATATGATACACTCGTTAAAAAAAAAATTGACACGATATTTTAATTAGCATATTATCCCTATTAATTGATATTTAGTATTAAATCTTGAAAAATGATTTGGAGAAAAGTAATTAAAACTAAAGGTAAAACATGGAAACATAATTATTTACTCTTGAAATGTGAAAAATGACAAGTAAAAGTGAACTGATCTAGGGAGTATATTATTTCCAGTTCAATTTGTTTGTCATATTTTTACTTGATACAAAGTTTAAATAATTTTTTTTTTTGAATCTTGTGATCTTAAATATGTTACGTGAAAAATTAAAATCAAGAGTACAGTTACTAATAAATAAAAGAGTCTTTTTTTTCATTTTTCAAACGAATAAAAATGAAAAGTAGCACATACGAATTGAAACTGAGAGAGTACCTAATGACTTAGATAACCTGTTCATATAATATATAATAATTATATATAAATTCAAACCAAAAATAATATAATAATTGATGAGAGAATGCACATATTAATTAAAAAAAACTCAAATATGCTATCAAATTTTGAGAAAAAGCTTATCTATGTCATTTGTTAAGAGTTTAGCTTATCTATGCTATTTTTGTTTGAGAAACGGTTCATTCATGTCATTATTTGTCATTAAATAGCATAGATGAGCCAAACATTTAACATATGACATATATGAACCTTTTCTCAAAGTTCAAGGACATATTTGTGCCTTTTTCCCTTTTAAAAAATAATTTAATAAATGACGTGACTGAAAATCATAATTGACCACGTGTCAAAAATGGGTTTTCATAATTGACCATGTGTAAAAAATAGTTTTGTAAAATGGAATTGGTTTAAGTTAACAAATAATGTCATAAATGAGTTGTTTTTCAAAAGTAAATGGTATAGATGAAGCAAATTTTTAACAGATAACATAAATGAGCCTCTTCTCAAACTTTAATGATGTATATGAGTCTTTTCTCTATTAACAATAATAATTAATATTATATCTGATATCAAATTTTAAATATTATATTAGAAAAATATACTAGTACTTATTAACATGGATAATAAACTAGATGCCTAAAATTAAATGATGAAGAGAGAAATGAAATGACAAAATTCAAGTAGAAAAATATAGTCTAACAATAATCGAAGCTAATTTAGTTTAAAATTTTAGAATTTGTTTCCTTTGACTTCCTTGTTTTCCCATTGCCTTTTCAAGAGCTATATGAAAATCTTTAAAAGGTACCATATCCATCCTGTAATAAATTTAATTAAAAATCAATATTGCTACATTGTTCATTTTAAATTCAAAATAACTTCTTTTTTTTA